TTTTTTGAGAATTCCACACGAAGGCAACATTCCGGCAGATGACGCAGGCGGGAAGACAGACACTCCATGCAGATGGTGGCCAAAAATTATGTAAGTAGGACATAATTTTCTACTTTAAAATTTAATTTTATATAACGTTGCCACGCGCGGACTCTGCGACATCATATGTCGTCATTCGTACCGGGGACATTCTTTTAACGACGACATACGTTGTCTTTAGTCGTTTAAAGGTTAAACATACCTCACTGAACAAATGAAAAATAGAATTCCATCAAGTGTAAACATTTTAATAATTAATTAATAAAATATCTTCTGCCATACATAAAATATAATAAGAGAGGGTTCACAATTTGCCACATGCACTTGCTGTATGATACACAGTGCTGTGGCAGAATAGAGGATATTGTGGAAAAGATTAATCATTCCAGGGAAGGTATGAATATAAATGAATAGTTTTACATATGTTCATATGAACACTCCGATTTCTTTTTTGCTAGTGGATTGGGGCTAGGTCCCTTGTACTGCTGCCACTTCTGGCCTATTGTACCAGCCCCAGATGATAGGTGAGGGTGATTGTGGAGCAATTGGTGGACTGAAGATTGGCAGGGGAAACTGAAGTACTTGGAGAAAACCTGCCCCAGCACCATTTTGTCCACCACAAATCCCATTTGACCAGACCCGGGATTGAACCCGGGCTGCCGCGGTGAGAAGCCAGTGACTAACCACTTGAGCTATGGCGCGTCCTAACACTCCAACTTAGTTACAGATGAACAAAAGGTAGATAATGAGAGTAATATAAATATGCTGTTTGATATAGCTGTACCTTGTACAGGTAAACCTTAGTAGATGAAGTGTGCATGTGCAAACAAATAGTCTTATGTATCCATGAGACCACACACCTTCAGTCCAATATTGCACCCTCAGTGATTACAATGTACTTTGCTGGAATGCATACAGCAATATCATAGTGAGTTTGCTGATGAATAATTATTTATATGAGGGATGTTCAGTAAGTAAGGTTTCTCAGCCTGTAACATTTGTGTTAATCAAGCATTTTGTTATTTGGTAGGTGGTAGCATGGGGTTAGAGGCAGCATGTAACAAATTGCAGCACTTGGGATATCACTGATTTGACATTAATGATGAAGCCTTGAAACAGGAATGCCATTCAAAAACTACTGTCTGGCTTAAAGAATGTTCTCCATAAGCCTCAGAAACATTTCAAGGGTTTCGGTAGCAGATTTATTGAGCTTCATGCAAAACATGATGCAGACACATTGCTCAATTTTGCCATCCATCACAGACAAAACAAACACAAAGTTGAAAAAGCATTCATGTAAAAACAATGTATGTTCACAGGGTGGTGTTATGTGGCAGACTGATGCAATAGGCTTTCAGAAATGTGACCATGGCCTCCCTCTCATCTTTTACATCGAGACAGTTACAACAAAAACAGTCCAGGGACTTTCTGATACCACCTCATATAAATACCTGGTGCCATCCTAAAGTTCCAAAAATTTGAATTTTGCACATGAATGGTTATGAGTGCATTGAAATACCGCATGGTGTTTCCCCACACACCCTTCTTGAATCAGTGTGGCAAGCGGTGTTGAGTTGAGTGGTTGGGTTTATTGTTAGTGAACATATTTCCACTGTTGTGTTTCCGTGAGTTTTGCGGCTTTGTGGTGGCTGACCTGAGAGAGCAGTGTCTATAAAGTTTTGTTTTAAACTTTGGAAAACCACTGCAGAAATGTACCAAATGTTGAAGCAAGCTTTTGGTGACAACAGTTTAGGCCAGACATGAACTTACGACTGGTATAAGCATTTCAAAAATGGCCAAACATCGACTGATGATGATGATCGTTTGGGATGGCCGTCAACTGGCACCACACCAGAAAATCTTGCGAAAGTTAGGGATACAATTCAGCAAGATCATAGACTGACCATCCAAGACCTCTGTAACACGTTGGGACTAAGTTATGGTACATGTCAACGAATTTTGTCAGAGGAATTGAACATGAGGATTGCGGCGAAGTTTGTGCCACGACTGCTGCAAAATGAACAGAAGCAGCATTGCTTGGATGTCTGCAGGGAACTTCAACAACAGCTTCAAGAGGATCCAGACTTTCTTTTGAAGGTTGTTACTGGTGACAAAAGTTGGGTTTATGGCTACGACGCTGAAAGTAAGCAGCAATTGTCGCAATGGAAGAGCCCTTTTCCTCGGCCAAAAAAAAACTTGACAAGTCAAGAGCAACATTATGTCCAAGTTGATCTGTTTTTTTTTATATTGACGGGATTGTTCATAAGGAGTTCGTCCCTCCTGGTCAGACAGTCAATAAAGAGTTGTATCGTGATGTTGTAAGGCATTTGAGGGAGGACATGAGAAGAAAACGTCCAGAGAAGTGGCACACAAACAACTGGGTACTCCACCATGACAACGCATGACCGCATACGCCTTACATTGTGCAGGAATTTTTGGCTAATAACAAGATGACAGTTGTTCCCCATCCACCATACTCTCCAGACTTAGCTCCATGTGAGAAACACTGGGATCGGTGTATGCGCTCCCAAGGGGACTACTTTGAATGTGATGGTGTAGAATAAGATCCATGTAAGACGTAATAGTTTTTATTAATATATTTCAGGAACTTTTGGATTGCACCACGTATTTTGCTGCTCAGGTCTCCAGTTTGTACAAAAGTCACAACCACTACTTTGGTGTATACAAATATGTTATCTCATGTGCCATCCCTGATGTGCCAGCTATCCCTGTAACAGGCCGTGAAGGTCCATATAGTTGTGAGATGTCAAGTCTTCCACATCCTATATACATTCAGCTCACAGATGGCAGTAAAGTTGTCAGCCTTACATGCTGGCTTCTCTTTACCCCCCAGGAAGATTCCTGGTACTCATTTCTGTTAGAGGCTGAGTTGATCCCAGGGCCATAGTGTGGCTGGAAGGATTATGTCAACTGATAATTCCAGTGACCTCATTGGGAATCAAACCTGTGACCTTCCAGCTTGTAGCATAGTGCCTCAACCAAGTTTGCTGCCATGTTCCCCTGTGCCATCCCCTATATATCAGTTTTAATGAAGTGAATGGAAAGTTTGATAAGTTGGAGACAGGTTGTTTGTTTTTGTGTTGCAGATACTTGACAGATATCTGAGTTTCTTGAGAAAACATAAAGCCCTGTGTGGTAGTATGAAAGAGCACACCAAGTTTGGGGTAAGTACTTTTTGAGAAGTTAATAACTGCTTATAACAGCACATTCTAAGTTGTATTCAACTGAATGCAAAGCTCCTGCAAAAAGACATCCCCTAAAATAGTAATAAGAGACTAATACTTTGTGATTGGCAAGGGTCATAAAAATGTAGAACTTGGTTTTTGGTAGGGAATGTATGGGAAACACTGAAATCATGACTAACTTCAGTGGACCCCTCATTTAATGTTCATTGAATTAAGTTTTACCCCCATTTAACACTGAGTTTCACTGATCCCAAGTCAGTAATTTTGGTGTTAAAATTCTTCTTTTTTTTTTAATTTTCTTCAGTTTAGTGTTCAAGTCCACTGCTTCCCAAAGGAAACTTGAAATTAAGGTTTACTAACGAGGTCCTTTTTAACAGCTAATAATTGAAAACTGGAAAGTTAACTGTATTCAGTTACAAGTTTTCAAAATAGCAGTTACTATAGCTGTGTAAAAGGTTTGGGATATGAGTTTCTAATGTCAGTGACTGTGAAGGTTGAATCTGACACATTGTAGCCTTTTAGATGGTTACTGTTGTTTGGGAGAAAGTCTTCTTCCCTGAAGATGAGGCAGCACATTTTTCAGAAACATCAGTAACAATTTTCCTCACTACATGACACCACTTCGCAGAAGACAATGATTTTCATTTATAGCCTACCCTACTGCTGTGTTGCCTGAAGTTATCAGTGTTGTTGACATTCTAGTATGTGTTACTGTGTTACATTGGCAGTAATGTTTGTTGCATAAATGCTGTTTGTTTTCTGACCTATAGGTGCTGAAAGCCAGAGACACGTTTCGTCAGAATCCTCCATCTGGCATACCACGAGGGCAGTTTGGAATCATTGAAGCAAACTTTGCTGTTTACATAACTTTGTTACATTCTTTGGAGTTACTCTCGCTATATGGTCTGCGCTCATTTCTGAAGTTTTTACAGGGTATGTATTCCAGTTGATAACACACTAGAAAAGAAAGGTGACATGATCATTTGATGACCCAACCTGTGTAAGGTGCCTACAAGACAGCGAAACAGCCACACATATCCTGTGTGATTGTGAGGCCATAGCTTACGTAAGATTTCGTCACCTGGATCAGCTCTTCATTGAACCAAGCGACTTTTATGACACCACCATAAATAAAGTCCTATATTACTTGCCAAATATACATGGAAGTTTCTTTCTGAATATTCCTAGTATATCCCCAGCGTAGTGTGTTGGTTTAGGTGTGAATGCTGTGGTCATTAGAGGCAAGGTGAGAATCCTATGTTATGTGCAATATTTGTGGCAATGTTTAAGCAGTGCATAACAGTTGTTAAATGTGAATTAGTAATTAAGAATTTTAGGTTTACAGTTTATTTTGAGACCACCCCAAATTTTTGGGGGGGACTCATTTTAGGCTGAAAGGCTCATCTTATGCCACATATATATTGTAACATGTTTTGTCTACTGAATATGTTGGGATTGTTAATTGGTTTATTTAACAACCTACAAATTGTAACTACAATTAATTATGACACTGTTACAGGTTTACACACTTTACAGACCCTACTCACCGAATGTTGCATAGTTATGGGATGAGTGGGGTATGTGACATCACTCTCAATTCCTGTTGCTCAATCCAAGCATTAACACAGTTGTCGCCTAGCAACGTGCTGATACAATCCACAACTCTCACGTTGCACGCATACCCCGAGGCCTCTGTGGCTCAACAGTTCCTACATAGAGCACATACATCACACTGCTCCCTCCTTAAGGCTGTTCGTCCCAAATAGCCTGACAGTGCATCCCCGTTCCTTTTTCTTCCCGTTGTCCGTTCACCAACCGCTACATCTGCCCTCTTATGGTTGCTCGTCCCAAGCAGCTCCATGATAAGGCACTAGCCAGACCAGGTGTACTACCAACATTCTTGACCTATGGTTCTTCTGGATTCTGTATACCACGTCATTTATCCAGGTTACTACTTTGTAAGGGCCTTCCCATGAAAATTAAAGTTTCGGTGATTTCCCTTTCCTGTGGGCTGGGTGATAAAGCCAAACTCTGTCACCCTCATGGTAACCTGTGGAGTTGGCCAGTTTATCATACTGAGTTTTCATCCAGTCACTGGCGAGCTTCAGGTGTTGTGGGGCATAATTGTGGATGTCATGTAGATGATCCACTAAGTCTGCTGCATAATCAGTTGTGGCTAGTTCCATGTCTGGGGGTACCCCCAACAGCAGGTCACAGGGCAGTCGGAGTTCTCATCCGAACACTAGGCTAGCAGGGGTCAAGCCCGTAATGTCGTGAGTAGATGTCCTGTAAGCTAGGACAAAGAAGGGTAACCTCTCATCCCAGTCCCTCTGGTGGGATGCGACAACCTTCCGCAAGTGCTCCTCGATGGTCTTGATGTAGTGTTCCACCATGCCATCCGACTGTGGGTGCAGGTGCGTGGTGCATGTCTTGATCACTCTCAGGCGTTGCAAAACTTCTTGTAGCGGATGAGACTCGAAATTACTGCCTTGGTCACTGTGCAACTCCTGAGGTATGCCGAAACAGCAGAAGAAGTTGGCAACCAGAACTTCCACTCTTGTCGACACCTCTTGATTTGGAATGACAGAGTGTTGATCCCCGAAACGGTCCTGTAGTACCTGAAGGGTATCCTGATAAGTTGTATTTGTCAGAATGCCGGGTAGCACTTCTGCCGTCCAGCCCTTCAGAGCGGTAATTAGGTACGTCGACTTTTCCCAGTCCAACCATTGGTTGTATTACGCTACGATCTTGCATTGTCGCCGGAACACACTCCACATCGAATTTCCGTTAAATGTCAGTGGCTGATCTGTGCCCACGATGACCATGGGTGTGATTCCCTACTCAGTCCTCATCTTTACTACTTCCACCCGAGCCACAGGTTTGGTTGAAGGTTTTCGTTAGGTCTTCCTGGAGTTTTCTTGTCCGCGCATCAAGGGACACTTCTGCCATCTGTAAATCTGCTTGTGTCTTTTCAATCCTCTCATTTCCGACTGGAGAATCCGTTTGTCATTTTCAAAGATGGCAATAATGTTTTCAATTCTATGTTGGATTGTCTCATCCAACTCTGACCGCATAGATTGCTTTGCGGCCTCTATTTCTTCTCGGCTTCGATTTTCTCTCACAGTTTTTCTTGGCCGACTCTCCTCTCGGTCAGCCTCCATTATGGCCAGCCTCTGTCTTAGCTTGGTTGGTCCTAATTTCTTCTTGGCCAGCTCTGATTTCCTTCAGCAGCAGTTCCATCATCTGCTGTGACTCCATGTCTTTTTTGTGTGGTTTTTGCTTGTGTAAGTTCGTAACCACTTCTGACACCAGTGTAACATGTTTTGTCTACTAAAGACAACGTTTGGATTGTTAATTGGTTTATTTAACAACCTATAAATCGTAACTACAATTAATTATGGCACTGTTATGGGTTTACACACTTTACAAACCCTACTGACTAATCTCTTCACTCTCTTCAGTAGGCTTCTAGGCTTCACTTATTCACAGTACAACACTGGAGCTATATGAATGTCACTGAATTACACACTCCCAATATAACTGTACTACAGCACACACAGAGTCTTGAAGTCACACAATAAGTCTTCACTGGCTCACTTCCCAGTTATCGCACACTATCACTGATTACCGTGTGTTTGGTTCTCCTTCCCGCCACTGCTATACTTCAACTGTCTTCTGTCTGACTTCACAGTCCACACTGTCTCACACGCTACTTAGCTGGCCTCCTATATGGTTCCCTGTTGTCATGTAGTAACCGCGGTGTCACCTGTTATGTCACTGGTGGGGGGGCAGAGTGTTTAGTGGCCCTGTTACCATAGCAGTGGCAGCGGCTCCTAAGCGGTTATGTCACTGTGACAGTGGTTGCCTGACACAGTTGCTCTGCTGCT